GATAGAGTTGTGGTGAGGGGAGAGAAAACTTTAGGAAAATGGAAAATAACTGTGGAGAGGAAACTTTAATTATGGGGAGGAAACTTTAATGAGAAAATTTTAGTTGCAGGGAGAAGATTTTAATTGGGGGAGAAAACTTTAATTGGGGGGAGAAAACTTTAATTGGGGGGAGAAAAGACTGCAGGGAGAAGATTGAGTTGGGGGGGGAGAAAACTTTAATTATGGGGAAAATAACTGTGGAGAGGAAACTTTAATTATGGGGAGGAAACTTTAATTGGGGGGGAGAAAATTTTAAGTGAGGGGAGAAAACCGACGTCCTCTTAAAAACCACTGCTCCCCTTAAAAAAAACCAACGCGGGTTTGGTTGGAGACAGCGGCTTCAAAAAAAAAAAGTAACCACCCTCCCATCTACTTTCTCATCTTGCTGCTTTCCAGCGGGGGAAATACTCGTCCCCCCGGAATTCATGACGTTTGCTTTCTTTCCCCGACGGCATTCTTCGTGCTGCCCGCTGGGATTTCTAACTGGTAGCTGGCGGATTTATAGCCCCCACGGTGCGAAATGAACGTCTCGGGTAGAAACGACGTTTTTCTGCAACGTTCGGCTGTGGCCTCCCTGACGACCCCCCCCCCCCCTCCCCGGCCCTGAAAAATCCTCTGGCGAGGCTGAGGACCGACAGCCTTCGTGACACCTCTGATAGGCGAAACTTTCCTTGGCAGGCGAGGCGGGAGCACCTGCGGGGGTGGGAGCCCCAAAATGAAGGAAACGCGGGATTATTCCGGCTTTTTGGGCGCGGAAAGGAGCAAGCGGGCAGGTAACTGTAGAGCAACGAACTGAATAATCGCTGGGGTTTTCTTTTTTTTTAAAAAACACTTCTATAATTTGAGAACAAAAACCAGCTGAGGTAAGGGAAGGGGGGCGTGGGGGAAAAAAAAAAAAAAAGAGCTTTTTCTAGCACTTCCCTCGGAAAATTCTTGTTGATCAGCAGGTGGAATTTTTGCTCTGAACCGTCTCATTTCAGAGGCTTTGGGTTACTCTCATATATGATTAATCCTCCCTGAGGCACTTGAGTCACTGTTTCTTTTGGGTCTTCTCATTTTTTTTCCCCCCCCCCCAAAGATTCCAAATTTCTGCTTTATTCTGAAGGAGAGCAAAGAAATTTTTGAACAGCTGTAGTGTTAAAAGACACCCACACCCCCCCAAAATAAGTCTGGGATTTAAGTCCAGTTTAGACGCATCAGCAAAATATTTATTAATCGCTGCCTTCCCTTCGACACTGCCCTATTTTAGTTCTCCCGACTCTTCCTCCCATCTCCATCACCCTCTCGGTGCACAATAAGGTAGAAAAGGGGCTTTTTGGGTCTTTTCCATCATCCCTCTCTACCCAGCCAGGGACTAAGTTTTTGAGGAATGTTTTATTTTTATTTGTTGATTATTTGTCGATTTCTTTTTTAATTTGTCGGGGTTGGTTTTTTTTATTATTTGTTGATTTTTTTTTTTTTACATGGCTTTCTAAAATTATTTGGCAGATTTGGTCTCTGACTTACCTTCTATATAGTAATTTTGCATGGGGAGGGACGGGGGAGGAAGAGGGGAAAGGAGGGTTTGTCCCATGAGATTTGGTTCATGTGATAGATGGGGACGAAGAGGGGGAAGCTTAAGAGAAAAATCGGGGAAGTCCCACTGGGTGAAAGCACTGAGATTTTGAGGTAAAACCCTTCGGACGCAGAATTTTCTTTGCTCGTGGGCATCTTTGCTCATCGTTTGGGCATCAAATGATGCCTGTCCTTTAGGAAGGCTCAGCCCAAAGATGCTTTCGATGAGCATCGCCCAAGTGCTCCGCCGTGGGGCTCGGTGCCCTCCGCGGTGGCCCGATACAGGGAGGTTGCGTTGAAAGTCCCCTTCACCCTCAAGCAAAAGGAGGAGAAACCACCTTTTGGGCCAACAGCCTGGACCTGGAGCGTGTTGCTCCCCTCGGTACCCCCGCAAAGGCGTTGAAGGGCTCTTCTCCCGCAGGTTACAGCCTTGAGACGAAGCCGGAGGCGCGTGTCGCCTGTCAGGTGACGATGGCAGTGCTGTTCATAGCTCTGCTCGTCACCGCCGTCACTTTTGCAGGTGAGCATCGAGGTTTTTCATCTCATGGGGAACGTCTCTGAGATACGTTGGGTTGTTACACACGTGCCAGATCCACCTCCATGCTCCCAGGGAAGACGCAGCCCAACCCCAGGAGGCTGTCCTCTCCAGGGGAGGGACATTTTCAATGAGCAGAGAAGCCTTTCTGCAGAAGACCAAACTCATCTCCTCTGTGTAGGAGCCGATATCATCCAGAAACCCCTAAAACCCAACAGAAAGAGCCGTGTGACGGGTACAGTCACCTGAGCTTTCCCAAAGGGTTTTTTTTTTTCAAAAAGAAGGGGCCGTTCCTCTGCCGCTCGTCCAAGCAGCCAGAGATGTCGGCATGAGTCCCACCAAGCCAAGAAGTCTGCAGGAACCAAAGAACTTTTTTCCTGCCCTTTGCCCATCGCTGCTTTTGCATTAATGACAGACAGCAATACCTAAGGGCGCGTTTAGGGACAGGGCTATTCTGGAAATCCTCTTAAAACTTGCATCTTTGAAGGCCACCACCCTGTTTTCTTCTTTGAAGGTACAGCACCCACATTCCTTGTCCAACGCCACAAGCTGGGCCACGATTTGAGCTTGTTTTCTCCCTCCAATCCACCCGAGTCTTCTCTTGGTGTCTTAATTTTTCTTTCCTCTCGCCACTGAGGCAGATGCAAGACTTTTGGAAGCTATGGGGCGGAGGATGACCATCCCCACCCTGGAGAGTCAAGGGGAAGGTGCCGCTCCTTAACGCTGTTGCTCTGTCGATGACAGCGCAGGCTTTTCAGCCTCGTCCCCAACCCTGTTTTCGGTGTCCGTTTGACTGGATCGGGTACAGAGGAAAATGCTACCATTTTTCGGAGGCTGAGGGGAACTGGACATCCAGCCAGGACAACTGCTCGGCACTCGGTGCTTCCTTGGCCGTGCTCGACAGCGTGGAGGACTTGGTAAGGAGACATGAGGACATGCTTAGCCGGGGTGGGGGGGGGAAGCCACCAACGTATTTGCCACCTTTTGGATTCTTTGACTGCTCTTCCAGGATCTTCCTTGGAGATCTGGGGTGAGGAGACGGGGAAAATGGTTTTCTTGAGGGCAGGTCATCATGGGTCTCCTCAAATGTCTCACCAAAGCCAACTGATGCAAGACCTATAGCAAAAAAAGCCCCGTTTCTACGCAATAATGAGGCTCTGCCTTAAAGATTACACTTTTTGGTAGTAGATTGAAAGGTTCAAGCGCCAAAGGAGCCCTGAAGGAGCACGAGCAACTGCTAAAATGTAGATTATTGGTCGGAAGGAGGTTTCTGCAGATGGTGACCTGCCGGAGATGTCCCAAAGGCCTGTGACCTGTCGTAAAGCCTTTCTCCCTCCTCTTTTTCAGAGCTTTGTGATGAGATATAAAGGCATCTCGGAGCATTGGGTCGGCCTTTCACGTGAAGATGAGGAGCAACCGTGGAAATGGGTGAACCGCTCACGCTTATCTCACCCGTGAGTCTGTGTTTTTCATCGTTATGTCATTGGTTGGTGTTTCCTCAGCCCCGAAATGTGCATTTCTTCCGGCGTTTGAAGTGGATCCGGAGGTAGCGATGGGACAATGGCGTTTGGGAAAGGCAACGTTGCATCCAGAGCTGGTCTTCATTTTTCCCTTTGAACTGAGAGGTGGGAGCGGTGCGTTTGGCGGGGAAAACACCGTTAGCTAGATATTTATTTTTAAATAAGGGTGGTTTTTTTCTTGCAAAGCATCAGGTTTCTTACGGCCAACCCGGACTGCTGCCAAAACAGAAATAATTCAGCATCAGTATTGGCGTGGCGATGCCCGTGAGAACCGAAGAGGGGGGGGGAAAAAAGCCAGCGCGTGATTTTCCTCCTTTTCCCGGCTGACCCCATCTAAGGTGGGTTCCCTCATCTGTCCTTCCAGGTTTTGGATCCGCGGCGACGGCCTCTGCGCCTACCTGAACGACAACGGGCTCAGCTCCTCCCGCTGCAGCACCGAGAGGAGCTGGGTTTGCAACAAGCCCGAGCTGCAGAGCCCAAGCAAGGGCAACGGGACGAGACGGGCTCAAAACCTTTGCATCAGCTCCTAAGGGGCTGCAGGGAGTGCTCCTCAAACCCAAATACCTTGTGCACGATTGAGAAACAAAAGAAAACCTCAAAAAAAAAAACCCCACAGAAAAAGCAAACTCGGGGGGGGGGAAAAAGCCTGTTGCCAAAAAATTGCCAGGTAGGAGCCAAAGTTATCGCGCGTTTGCATTTGCCAACCCAAAACTTTGCCATACGACCAGTGAAAAATACCTGGTGATTGCTCGCAGCACCCCTGCAGTTCACACCTGGTAATGACTTATTCGTAACCCCACTTGCAATTAAATGTCAGAGGACGAGGAAAGTCACAGCCGTACCGATGACCCCCGGGGAGGACATCTGGAGGGTGAAGCTTAGCAGGCCTTGCACGGCGCGACCAGAAGAATGGGCAAACGCCGTAGGATTTTAGCTTTTCCCACTTTTTGTGGCGTTAAAGGAGCGACCTTCAGGCTTGCTTGGCTGAGAAAGGCTTCCCGACACCTTACGAGTATGTGGAAATGCTGCAAGGATGGACAACGCTTGCAAGGCCTCCAAGGATTTGCTGCTCTCGTCTGCAGGAAAGCCCAAGCTGCAAAGCAACCAAGTCAACCCGTGACCGTACGTGGCTCTGTATCAAGAGCAAGGCGAAGGTGAAGAGGCTTCCACGCATCGAAAATCAGATTATTCTCTCCAGGGACACAGCTCTGGGGGTAGGACAGCGGCAGGATTGGGGAGGATCTGCCAAGTCAAGGTTGGAGCGACCAGCACCAACTGGTTGGAAAGAGAAGGGGACGTCTTCGCCTTAACGTGCCGGTGAGGTTAGGGATAAAAGCCAGCAAGGTTTTTAAAGAAGAGGAGGAGTAAAAGAAAACATTTTGCACGTTTTCGTGGAACGCTGTGTCCAGGGAAGACTTTCCAGCATCTCGTCTTGACGAAAGCTGACCTGTCTGCACGGACAGCCGCGTCCAGGGAAGACTTTTTTTGACGAGCATCTCAACTTGGGGACTGTCGGTGAAGGTGTAAACGTGAGGATAGTAGGATTTAGCAGCACTTTATTTTTTAGCGGTATTTAGCAGTAATAGCTAAAGGATCCAGCTTTTTCCCAGGACTGATGAAATCCTTTGTTTTCTCCTCTTTTAGCAATTTGGTGATCGTTGTCTTCTCAGATGCTCTCCCAGCAACGTTTCACCAAAGTGAGGGGGGGGGATTTTTTTTTTGGTGGGGGGGGGGAC